GCACCATTAGAAGTATTCTAAAAAAGGAACAAGGTGAAAAAATTGCTCCTTACATTTTCAAAATAAATGATACTCAGACACTAGAAACTTATCTAAAAAAAGAAAGGATTACTTATGAAATTTACCATGAAGAAAGAAAAATCATAACTAATAAAGAGCATCAATGCTGAACTGAGAAAGAAGAGAAAATCAGAAGAAAAAAATTTTAATACCTAACAGTTTAATTATTAGTATAGGTGAACGTGTGTATATTAACACATCAGAAAGAACAGTTGCCACATAACAACAATATCATTAATTAATTCCATGAATTTTTTCTTTTTTCTTTCTTCCTAATAGACAAGGCAAAAATTCCTAACATCAATAATATTATTCCTTCTAATAGTAAATAAGGTAAATAATTAGTTGAGTTGATTAGTTGTAATTGTTCTTTCTTTTTCTCAGTAATTATTTGACCAAGGTCGAATTGATTTAAAGAAATTTTGTCATTTAATTTTAAATAATTGAATGCCTGTTGTAATTCTGGCTTATTATTATTATTTCAAAACGAACTTATGAAATTTTCAGATCGAATTTTCTCTCTTTAAATACATTTTCAATTTAATAATAAACCAGAAAAATGGTTAAATTGAATAAAAGTAATAAAAGGAATAAATTCAAAAAAATTTTGTTGATCGTTGATCATGTGATTTATTTATCCTGCATTTTTGTATACTACATAAATTTTTTTTACTCTCTTGTATTTAAAAAAAAAGGCTTTTATTTGGTAGTCAGCTGTGGATTAAAAGTCAAAGGGAAGAAAAAATTTCATTTTGACTTGTGTAACATATGTAGAAACAACAATAATGAAGACAATAAACTATTATTTAGATTATTTAGATGAAAACATTTATTTATATTAAAAAACAGCAATTTAATCAAGTAAATGAATTAGTGAACAAATATTAATATCGTAAAAAAAAATTTAAATTTTTTTGTGATACTTTCTTATTCAAATAAGGTTACATAAATGAAAATCTCAATTATACAGCATACATATGCTGAATAAATTGTAGGCTATTATTAAGTAGTCATATTTATGTTTTTTTTTTTTAGGACTCCACCATGGATCATGTAAATTTCTTTTTGAGTTATGATTCAAATTCAACTTAAATATTTTTTGAAATACATTGCTATGATCCAGGGTTGGCAAATGTGCGGTCCATTGATGGTCTATTGGTGGTCCATTGGGTCCATTAGTGTAACACTTTAACCATATTTAGTATTTTATTAATGGCAATGGACCAGTCCAAAATCCATCTGTTCTCAATGGACCAGTCAATTTGCCAACCCTGCTATGATCCACTTCTTGTAACACATGATCAATTTTTGATATACATTCTATGGAAATAAGTAAATTAGCTTTTCTGATAAAGAGAAAAAAAATAAAAAAATACATACACATATATAAATATTTAACTATCAGATCTTACCAATAAATGGTTGAATATCTTTGAAACGTTTTTCAATCTTTGAATCTCGTGAAGAGATGTTGGCAAAACAAAAGATTGACCAGGCGATACAACATAATAGTCTTTCTCAATTGTCATTAATAATATTTGACCATTAATTCCAGCCATTTGAACATATTGCACTTTTATATCAACATGATCTTCCAATTGTTCTATTTTAAAAAGACTATTTAAGATTGCTTGATTGACTCTGTTCGATCTGCATCTGTCAGTTATAATTTTTACAGGAGTTATGTGTTGTGAAAACTCCCACTCAGCCAAATCTTTGCCTTTTGTATATAGATGCCGCCCAAATTAAAAATTCAGAATCCCAAATCCCAAATTAATTTGTGCATCCCAAATGTACAAATCCCAAATGTAGATCAAATCCCTGTACTTGCTCTTCTGACCAATAAGCATCCAGGATAATAAAGGGATCATAGATCACACTCACAAATTCTGGGTGCTTATTGGTTGAGCAGGAAAACTGATCTACATTTGGGATTTGGGAATCTTTCAGTAGGCTGTCCCAAATTTAATTTGTGCATTTGGGATGCCACAATCCCAAATAGTTTGGGATTTGGGCAGCATGTATACTTTTGTACTAAGTATATGAATGTCACATTGTTGACCATGAGTATAACTCTCAGATTTTGATGGCGGAGAAAAGGATTCACCCCTTATTATTATTATGACAATAGTAAGAATATATATGTGTTAATTTAAACAATTATTAACCAAAATATAATTGTAATCTTTTTTTAACTACCATTTTTGACTAAAATCAAAGTCAGGTGTCAATCCATTGATGATATACTCTACTGATTTTACAATAATATCAGTTTCAGTGTATCTGTTATCATTATTATTTAAAAAAGATTTTCCATTTTTTGTTTTATATAAACTACATGTTCATGTTCATTTAATAGAAAAAATAAAATAAAATTAAGTTGATAAAAATCAGAATATTAAAAAAAGAAAAGGAGTGATACATACAAATCGCCATATACTTTAGATATCTTATATAGTTCTGTGTTTATTTCTGAGTGAATATGAGTATCTAAACATCTAAGATATGCTTGGTTGGTTTCACCTTGATCTATTAACTATAAACAAAATAAAGTTCAAAAATTAGACTAGGATGAATAGGAAAAATGAAAACAAAGTAATGCATCTACTTTTTCAATATCCATAATGAAGTTATTAGTGGAAGTTTTGAATTCATCAATATTTATTGGACATTCATTTTTTTTTGTTTGTCTTCAGTGAAATAATCCTTCATCAATGAACTTAAGTCAATGATTCTCGAGGCACTGTATTGTTGTAATGCTTTTTGCTCCAGAGTCATTTTTTCATCTTCAATATCTTGAATTTCTTTTTTTATAAAATTTAATCTTTCATTTACACAAGTCGATGAAGGAGTAGATGAAGATATAGATGACGAATAAGAAGATGATTGTTGTTGTTGCTGCTTACATGATGACTTTAGGGAGTTCAGGCACTGCACATTATAAAAAAAAAATTAGATTCAATTTAATAAAACAAAACAGTCTTACATGGTTAAAGAAAATATAATTTACACACTATTTGTAGTTGTGATTGTGGTGGAAGTGGCGATGATGGCATTCGACTAAGAAATAAATGGATACAAAATCAGAGTTTAATCTATGTAGACTATAACTAGGATGGTGATGTGTTGCAATGATCACAATCACCATCACCATTCCTTTTAATAATAATTAACTAGAGTGATGACGAGTGGCACCACCATTCTTAATTATTTTTTTTTTTGCTTCTTTTGTTGTTTTTTAATGACATTTTGGAAGGAAAAGAAGTTTGTGATTTGATTGACACGTACAGCATAGTGGAAATTCTATTTATATCACAATTTGATGATCACTGTGATAAATTTAATTTATATTGTGCAACAATA